TGTAAAGAGCAATATTGCATAGGAACCTGGAATGTTAGGTCCATGAATCAAGGCAAATTGGAAGTGATCAAACAGGAGATGGCAAGAGTGAATGTCGACATTCTAGGAATCCATTCTAAAATGGACTGGAATGGGTGAATTTAGCTCAGATGACCATTATATCTACTACTGTGGGCAGGAATCCCTTAGAAGAAATGGAGTAGCCATCATGGTCAACAAAAGAGTCCGAAATGCAGTACTTGGATGCAGTCTCAAAAACGACAGAATGCTCTCTCTTCGTTTCCAAGTCCATCACATTAATAATTGCATATTCAGTACATGGGTTTCCCAGGTGTCACAGTAGTAAAAGAATTCAGCTGCCAGTGCAGGAGATACCAGAGACATGGGTTTGATCCCTGGGCTGGGAAGATTCCCCTGGAGCAGGAAATGGCAGCCTGCTCCAGTGTTCTTGCCTGCCTAGCAAATTCCATGGACAGGGAGCCTGGCGGGCTTCAGTCCTTGGGGGTCTCCCAGAGTCAGACGTGCCTGAGCGCAGCACAGCATGGCAGCATTCAGTACCCAACACAGACTGCCCCACAGCAGAGACCAGAATTAAAACTGTCAATAAATGACATGGCTAAGCCCCCAAATATGTAAACATGTTCTTTATTGGGTAAACCCACTAAGCAAAAATTCATGAAAGATGTGTGCACTCAAGGAGGAGGACGGGAGAATTTCTTTCACCCTCAGTGCAAGAATTTCTCATGATGGATCCTAGCTGAAGAGCACTTGGAGATTCTTTCATGTACTTGGCTTTCCCATTGGGCAATTGGCAAATGAAGACTATCTCTAGAGGCTTTCCTCTTGGCTGCGAATCATTTTCCATAGCTTTCCACCTCAGAAGTCCACCTACAGAGTCAGCCAAACATCCCAGGGACCCTAACCGTTGCTGGAGAACCAGTTCCTGCCCAAAGGCCACCAAACATCTCCAAAAATAACCTAATTTCATCCCTTTTTATGGCTGAGGAAGACCCCCTGGAGAAGAAAATGGCAACCCACTCCAGCATTCTTGCCTGGAGAATCCCATGGACAGAGGAGCCTGGTGGGCTACAGTCCATGGGGTCGCAAAGAGTTGGACATGACTGAAGTGACTTAGCACGCACTCATGGTATATATATGTGTATGGAATTTTTTTTTAAGTCGCTCAGTCCTGTCTGACTGTTTGCAACCCAGTGGACTGTAGCCTGCCAGGCTCCTCTGTCCATGGAATTCTCCAGGCAAGAATGCTGGAGTCGGTTGCTGTGCCGTCCTCCAGGAGATCTTCTCGACCGAGGGATCAGACCAGCATCTCTTCCATCTCCTGCATTGGCAGGTGGGTTCTTTACCACTAGTGCCACCTGGGACATCTTTTTTATCCAGTCATCTACTGATAGAGTTAGGACATGATGCTTCCATGTCCTGGCCATAATCAACCTTCAAGAACCAGTTCACAATGCATCTTCCAGGAACCTCTATAGATTTTTCGTTTTACTTCAAACAGCACTTCCCTTGAGCACTCAGGTGGGAAATACCCCACTGCTGATGGTATGATTTTCTCACTGTGCAAAAAGAAAGCATGAGGAGTACCGGTGCTTGCCACCATACCTTCTACCCCAGTGTGGGCTTTCCTTTGCACAAAGTGGCCTGTTCACCATACCTTGTACTCACATGGTTTGTCATCACCGAAGGAGCCCTTTGTCCTATTTTAAACAAAGAACTATGTGGCAGCAACCCTTCCTTTTGCTTCTATAACATCTTGAAACTCCCCTTGGTTATAGCACTTGGGACTCTGATTAATATTTGTCTTCTATTTCTGCAAGTACCCAGTGGGTCTGTTGAGGTTGAAGACTTTGCCTTACTAATCTCTGTGTACTCTCAAGTACACTGCTTGGGTCAAAGGAAGCATAAAAAAGATTTGTCAAATCAATGAAATTGTAAAAGTAGAGAATCTCCAAAAGCGTTGCATATGTCCAAGCCACTGACTCACTCAATCACACATCCATTCATTTATTTTTCATTCATGTATTTTCAATTATGTGAGGCACTCTGGGCCTCACTTATAGAATGGAAATAATGATCTCTCCTCTGATCATATCATTTGAAAGTTGAGAATCAAAAGAGATAACGTTATAAAGATACCTTTCAAACAGTAAAATAGAAAAGGCCATGCTGGTGAGAAAGGTTTTCAGACATGTAGATGTATTGTGGCATTGTTTCGTCCATGGAATTTTGGCATACGTGAATATTAAAATTTAAAGCAGCAATAGCCATGCAGATTTCACAAAGCTAGGTATTTCACAGAAACAAAATTCTGTGGTTAGTTAAATTTTGGAAACAATGCATTTTTTTTTAAAGTTAATCTTTTTAACTGAAAGATCTTCAGTACCTTCGATATGGCAAGGCCATCATTCTACACCTTTAAGGGGTGATAGACTGAACAGATTCTCCAAACTTAATTGACCAGAGGATCTTATTGATCATAAATTAGCTAATAAACCAGCCCCTCACCCTCCAACCTACCCCCACAACATATTTTTGACAAAAAGTCCAGGAAAGAATTCTGTTCAGACACATTGTCTCCAGGAAATTTGGCACCAATTTCACCTGGCAAAAGGAAAATCCTTCCAGGTTTTTAAAAGAAAAAAATTTCAGAAAGCTAATGAAAATCTTAAAAGAGGCAGTAGAGTATATTAGATTATTTCCCTGAAGCTCAATAAAGCCACAATATATTTTTAAACAAATTTAGTTTGATAACTACAACTGTATTTTGAAATATTTGAGATCCAATGCAGTCACAGTTTTCCAGATCACCTTTGCCCTTCACTGTATTTCTCCATCTTTCTTAGCTCTCAACCACTTAAAGACAAATTCTCTGCTGGGTGAAGCCCATCTAGAAAGTTATTGTAAATGGACTTGTTTCAACATGATTCACCTACAGGAATCACTGTTTCGTGTCAAGCCAATTTACTCAGTGTTTTCCCCAGATATGTGTTCAGTCAGTTTCTATCCTTTTGCTCATGTCATCCCCTCAATAGAAATGCTCCCTTTTTATGCTTCATTTTTCTTTTCCCCTTTTCTTATCTCCCCATCTTTTTTCTGTACTTCTTTCCACCCACCCACCTCAAAATATTTATCTGACACTGTGTGAGGTGTTCAGGATACCAACACCTAATGACCAAGATTTATTCTTTGGTTTCAAGAAGTTTAAGTAAACAAATATGTTGAGAGACTTAATATACAAATAAACAATGGCCAGACCATATGTTAAAGCAGAATTATGACCCTCAACCATAGCAACCTTCCCAAGAAGTCAGCCTCTTCTCTATACTAAACTATCCTGAAAGCCAGTCTATTATAAGTCAGATGGCATTCTCTAGTGATGTTCCAGGAAGCTAAACAATAACTTCTGTAATTGGCCCCAAATGGCCAAGACAGGATTAATAACCAAAAGCTTTCCTAACTTTTGCCCATGTTTCTAACTTAGGAACAAGCAGAGAAGGCCAAATATGCATCCCTTTTCAAAAATCACATTGGATGCCCATCCTTAGTTATCCCACCTACAGTTTCCCCATGCCAAAAGCCTCTGCTCAGAACATACCTGAAACCTTCTCTTTTCTCCACTGTGTAGTTCTCCAGTTTTCCCACTCCTCTGCCTGCCTTTGAGTCTCTGCCAAAACCAAGTAATGGAGGCTGACTCCTTTGCTCAGAAGAAATAGCCTTTGCTTCTCTCACTTGGTTGGTTTTTATTTCCACAGTGTGAACAATGAAATTTGCAATGCAATATAGTTATAGTTATATGCAAAATTGCTATACTTGCCTCTTCTGTAACAGTGTTCACTGTTGGTGGGGAAGGCATTTTCATGCACAATAGCTGGCCATAGCCTTTGAACTGACCACAACTCCTGAAATTACTTGACAGATGAATCTCTCATCTCTCAACTAGATGGTGAGTTATCCAATGGTGGGTACTGAATCAACACCTTCTTTTGATGTCCCACACGGGGTTTGCAGAAAGCAGGAATTTAGTTGGAAAAATTAAAAAAGAATAAAGTAATAAGCCCTTGAATCATCAAGACTTCAACACGGGTAGAGCATTTTCACATACACAGTTGACTGTGATCTAAAAAAAAGTCTGTGAGGTAGTTACAATCTTAAGCTATATTTTAGACACAAGGAAGTTGAGTTTCAGTTCAGTTCAGTTCCATTGCACAGTTGTGTCCAACTCTATGCGACCCCATGGGCTGCAGCTCGCCAGGTTTCCCTGTCCATTATCAACTCCCAGAGCCTACTCAAACTCACGTCCATTGCATCAGTGATGCCATCCAACCATCTCATCCTCTGTCATCCCCTTCTCCTCCCACCTTCAATCTTTCCCAGCATCAGGGTTTCAGGCCGTGTTTAATAACATTTAAAGTGAGAATGATAAAGCAAGTGATGGGTATTGAAGTTTTGGGGGACCTAAATTCCTTAGTTAGTTTGGGGTTTTTGTTTGTTTGTGCTTGTGTGCTTTTGACCACACTGAACAGCACATGGAATTTCCCTGACCAGGGATCGAACCCATGTCTCCTGCAACAGAAGCACAGAGTCTCAACCACTGGACCACCAAGGAAACCCTGAATCCCTTAGTTTTCTATTTCTTCATTGCTAACCATTTTCAAAACTGCTTTAATAGAAAGGGAACAGGTAGTTGGTAGGATAGAGACTATATTTGATGCATTTAATACTCACTTCCTTTCTAAAAACTCCATTACTATCCCTCAGAAACTAGCCCCAATCCAGGTTTCATTTACTGCAGCAAAAGTACAAATTGTGGAGGCAAAGACCAATAATGTTGGTTGAGTTGCTAAGATACCCAGAGCATTGTTAAATATGCCAGGTCACTATCCTACAGAGAGACCAATAATATGTCATGTCTCCATAGTAACTTGACATGAACAGGATGTGAGTTGAAAATAGAGGAAACTATGAGAAGGTTCATCAGTAACAGTTAAACCAGAAGAATGCTGAGTAACATATCATTTGATAATGTTAAAATCCTCAGAAAGAATTAGTTGGCAAAGCATGAGCTTTGGGATCCAAGAGACCAGGTTGGAATCATGACTCCCTCTATTGAAAGTTATAAGACCAGGATAAAATAGTCATACTAAACTGTGTGTTCCCAAGCTGAGAAGTAGAAAATGTTGTCTTGCCCTACTTGATTCTCAGGGAGTTGTGAGTTAAGGGCTGCACAGGTATAAAATATAAAGAATCACTAACATAACTGTCTTTAAAAATGCACATAGTCTTACATAATCTGAGAAAGTAAATAAATAAAAGCCCATCCTCATTTCTCAGTGGTTTATACTATGCAGTAGAATTTTCTGCTTGCAACAGATTATCCTCTAAATTTTTGCTAGATTGTACTGATGTTAAATTAATTGGTTGTTGGCTGGAAAGAGCATAAATTCGGAGCTTTGAAACCTAAATTGCAGCCCATCATTCCCCTAATGATTTATACGATCCTGAGCAGGTCATTTGGTCTTTTAAACCTCAATTTCTTTATTTGTAAAGTAACAGTAGCAATATTAATAGGTACCACCCTTAGACTATGACAAGTGGGGCCCTGCCTGAATCCAGAGCCTCAGTGGGCCCAGTGCTTTGGAGTGCTTCCTCGCAGTTTTCTAAGTCCCCTTCCAGTGCCTAGAACCTGCTAAGGCCAGTAGTGCAACACAGACAGAGGATCCTAACCCCAGACCAGGACATGTAGACCTCAGTCACTGCTTCTCCCCTTCAGAGCACTATCTGACCATCTTCCTTGCGTGGAGTCAACCAGATATCCCTAGTTGTTCTGGAATTTGTACCCGAGAAGTCATCATAGCACCTGCCTCAGTTCTAAGAGCATTGTCTGGTGAGCAGATCATCCCACTTGCCAGGGTGGTTTTTCTTTCCCAGGGTGGGGCAAGATTGAGCTGTAGGAACCATACTACATGCTGAGTTAGAGGGACTGCCACTCATGCTGAACACAGGACAAGTTCAGGGCTCTAGGCTAACAACAAGTTAACAACAAGGTTTCCCGCAATTCCTGGACATGAGTCACAAATGTAAACCCAAGCTTCAGCTCTCACCCATACATGTGTCAACAATGGAATCTCTTCCTGCCTACACATCTCAGGGTGGCTGGGATAGATGTATGTATTTTTCACCCCATGCCCCCTCTGTCACTAACACCAGAGTGGTCATCCACGCCCTCAAAGGCACTGAGTCACGTGTCAGGTGTCAACATGCCTGTCTTGCAAGGTCTTTAGAAATCGTTGCTCTGCAACATCAAGGAACCCTCCCAACTGTTGCATCTCTGATCCATGCTGAGCTCTCCCCAGGGTGGGTCTTAATTCATTCCGGATAAAAGGTAAACATGTACTGTATAAACTGAACTGGGCTTCTTGCCCTGCCCACATTCTTTCTTGCTGGTTGCTATTTATGGGAGGCAAGAGTGTGCTCAGCATCGAAAGATAACACATTCTAGGGATGCAGTGATTAGGGCCCTAAGAGTTCAAGAGAAGACATTGTTGAAAGATGTATTGTTCTACCTTTGGGCTATGAAATTCTAAAGTTAATATATCATGATCATAAACTAAATTTTCATTCCCACTTGATCTCAGTAAGATGTACATGTGTGATCATCATGAACAAAGTACAGTAACATTCATGGGAAATCACTGGAGGCCAAGATCCATGAATGCCTTGGAGATTGATGTATCATGAGTAGAGTTATAACGAGTTGTTGTTATTGTTTAGTCAGTCATGTTTGACTCTTTCAGAATGCCATGGACTGCAGCCTACCAGGCTCCTCTGTCCATGGGATTTTTCAGGCAAGAATACTAGAATGGGTTGCCATTTGCTTCTCCAGGGGATCTTCCCAACCTAAGGATCGAACTTGTGTCTCCTGCATTGCAGACAGATTCTTTTTTTTTTTTTAATTTATTTTTATTAGTTGGAGGCTAATTACTCTGCTGATGGGCATCTAGGTTGCTTCCATGTCCTGGCTATTATAAACAGTGCTGCGATGAACATTGGGGTGCACGTGTCTCTTTCAGATCTGCAGACAGATTCTTTATTTCTGAGCCACCAGGGAAGCCAGCTACAACTGATAATTGGCTGTAAATTACATTAGGGAATTGCACGTGCAAAAGGATCTACATATTCCAACACAAACAGAGCCCACAGAACCATGACATGGTGAGTATGTTACATTTTACTTGCAGTGGGTAATATGAAATTCGGCAATAATGGCACATTTGACAATAGAGATTGTAAAGCGATATCTTCTAGACATTAACACAAAGAGATGGTGCCCCTCTACTAGAATCTTTATGTACAATGATGAAACAATAAACAAATACATAAGTATACTTCTCTAACCATTACTCCAAATCTTTGTTGATAAAACACTGTGCTTCAAGTAGACCCATTAATTTTACAATATATGTTTTAACTAAATTGCATATATAGACAAAAATCCCACCAAAAATATTCACACAGGGCCTCATATATTACAGGGTGACCCTGATACTGATTATGCTTTTGCCAGAGGATATTAAAAATACTACTACTAATAAAACAAGTTAATACGTTGTTCCTGACACATGCATCACTCCCTATACCTGAGAAAAAGCTGACTCTTCCCATTTTTATGTCACTTATCTTCTTATTCACAGGGCTGGGGACACAACACAGCATCTGCTTCCTGACATGTGTCTATCATCTTCAAGCACTATAAACTTCAGGACAGTGGCACATACAATTCTTTTCTGAATCCCGAGCACTTATCATAAAACCTGGTGCTTCATAAGCAGTCAATGAATGTTTGATGAATGAATGAATAAAAAATGAATTAATTTATAAATTATAAAGTGAGATAGAAATGGAAATATTATTACAGTAATATTATTTCCTGGCAGGATTATCCTTTAGGATAAGATAAGCCAAAATGCTGAATTGCTGAAATGATGCAAAGATATAGAATTCATTTTTCCAAGGAAAAAAAAGAATAGTTTTTAAAAATATTCAATAGCAGGCACCTTAAACCAAATGTTCCTTTGAAACTTAATCATCCTTAGAATCAGCTAGAGTGTCTTATAAACATACAGATTCCTAGACCCCATTCCAATTCTACTGGATCAAAATCTCTGGTCTTAGGTTTGGGGAGGAATATGCACACTTAAGATGTTTTCCAGTTGATATTTGAGACTTATTTCTATAGACTACTATTTTCAATGTGAGATTTGCCATTTAGTTTCTGAATTGAGCAAATTCTTAAACCTTTGATTAGAAAGGAAATAGGATTCAATATTGGGAAACTCCATGAATCATAAACTGGTATATGTATCTCAATACCCACAGTAGATTTTTAGAAGCTATTATAGCATTTCTTATTGCTTTGAAATAACTAGATTTCTTACATTTTATAGTTATTGCACATGATACTACTTTTCTTATTGTCTATAGTGTAAGCTCCATGAGGAAACGGACTATATTTTGTTTATCACTGTATTCCCAGCTGCCAGCATAGTTCCTAGCCATTGTAAATGTATGAGTGAATCCATGAGTTAGTAAGAATGACTGAATGAGTCAAAAATGAATGAAGAAAATACCTTCATCTGACGGTAATTTTATTACATTCAATCCATTTTTTACCTTTTGTTTATTGAAGATATTTTTTCTTGCTGGCATTTCTCTTTCTTCTCAATTGTTCCTCAAGAAAGGAAAAGTGCTTTCCTGTAACTATATCAACACAGCTCACTGACTCCACACACTGTCTAACAGATCCATGATCCACGGTTGACCAGTTGCACATTTATAGTCTCTGCCTCTTCTTTGATTTTCCTACTTCTTCTGTTTTAGGTAAGTCACATGACCCAGATTCCCAAAAGCTGCCACAGGAGCTAACCCAAATACAGAGGGGAATTAACTTCCTGTGTGGCAGAATTTGAACAGTGGGACAGGAGAAAGGATGGAGCCTACAGTTAATACTCCCTCCAAAAGATTTCTTCCATGGACCTTAATGTTTAGGCAGAGAGGCACAAAAATGCCCACATGACCAGAGAGATACACCTTCATAGCAACAAACTAAGTCTCTTCGTGGCTCTGAGGAAATATTGTCCAGTGTGATTCAATCAGTTCAGTTCAGTTCAGTCACTCAGTCGTGTCTCACTCTTTGTGACCCCATGGACTGCAGCATGCCAGGCCTCCCTGTCCATCACCAAATCCTGCAGTTTACCCAAACTCATGTCCATTGAGTCAGTGATGCCATCCAACCATCTCATCCTCTGTCATCCCCTTCTTCTCCCACCTTCAATCTTTCCCAGCATCAGGATCTTTTCAAATGAGTTAGCTCTTCACATCAGGTGGCCAAAGTATTGGAGTTTCAGCTTCAACATCAGTCCTTCCAATGAACACCCAGGACTGACCTCCTTTAGGATGGACTGGTTGGATCTCCTTGCAGTCCAAGGGACTCTCAAGAGTCTTCTCCAACACCACAGTTCAAAAGCATCAATTCTTCAGCACTCAGCTTTCTTTAGAGTCCAATTCTCACATCCATACATGACTACTGGAAAAACCACAGCCTTGACTAGATGGGCCTTTGTCTGCAAAGTAATGTCTCTGCTTTTTAATATGCTGTCTAGGTTGGTCATAACTTTCCTTCCAAGGAGTAAGCGTCTTTTAATTTCATTGCTGCAGTCACCATCTGCAGTGATTTTTGAGCTCCAAAAAATAAAGTCTGCCACTGTTTCTACTGTTTTCCCATCTATTTGCCATGAAGTGATGGGACCGGATGCCATGACCTTCGTTTTCTGAATGTTGAGCTTTAAGCCAACTTTTTCACCCTCCTCTTTCACTTCATCAAGAGGCTCTTTAGTTCTTCTTCCCTTTCTGCCATAAGGGTGGTGTCATCTGTATATCTGAGGTTATTGATATTTCTCCCAGAAATCTTGATTCCAGCTTGTGCTTCTTCCAGCCCAGCATTTCTCATG